TTTTGAATGTTGATAATTCAAATATGATACTATAGTTATATTTGCATCCACATTATGTATAAATGCCTTGAAATTTGCTGAATAAAAAATGCATTTTTTACACAAATGAATAAGTTATTGCCTCTGATTTTGATAGTAGATAATAATTCCAATGTTTCTGAATAAATTAATTAGAGTGATCATATAGATATTTGATCAAAATTATCTTAAAAAATGGAATTCTAAAAAAATTTTTACAACCTTACCTATATGTTTGTTATGGAAATTACATACACCTTTGTTAAAATTTCATGTAGCTTATAAAATATGTCTGTTAAGTATTCCACGTAGTATTTCTTTGTTTTGTTTTTGCCCATTTAATAATTTCAGCGAAATTTTCCACGTTTCTAAGCTAACTTCTCGAAGGTGTGGCATATGCTAATATCCTTACCCAGTTTGAGTCAATTTTAGTTATTGGTGCCAACGCTTAAATGGAGAGGGAAGGAGGGAGAATCTTTCTCTTTCATTTTTTTGTATTGTAGAGGAAAATGAGGAAATTTAATTTAAATTTTGAGCACAGTCCCTTTTCCTTTTGGGAGAGGGAAGCTGGTTTTAGATTAAAACTGTGTTCTTCCCTTTTTTTCCTGGCTTTAAAGACAATGGATGACGAGAGAATGAGGTTAAGTGTTGTTTATGGGAACTTGGCGGGTTAATAAAGGAGGAGAAGGGAAGTAAAATAATATAAAAAAAAAAAAAAACACCCTAGAAAATGGTGGTAAATCGCAAGTTTGGTAATGCAGTAGTATTGTTTGCCGGCATACGCTCCATTCTTAGTGAAGGCCAGCCACTGGAATGTTACACCCAAAGCGACGGGATCATCACAACATCGTGCATCGGTATACATGAGGAATTTTTGTTCTAAAGAAGAGTTGAATTCTTTCCTTTCTTTCCTCGGATATGTGGTGTGCGAAATGAAATTGAAATAAGACTCTGGCTTCATTTCGTTTTATTTTTTCTGAATCTGGTTTAGTGATCTTGAAGATGATTTGTGCAGGCAGACTGTTGAATAATGGGGATGTGTTTTTGTAGACTTTCGTGGCAGCATTGTAGCCAGGTATTGTTAAGAGGTGGAGGTTTTTCGTGTCACGCGCATTGACAAAAAAGAAAAGGAAAAAAATCGTAATGTGGTGTTTATATGAACATTACCGGGATCTTCATTTCCTTTGTGTCCTCCTTTTTACTGCTGTTTTTATTAAAAGAAACTGACCGGGCTACTTCATCAAAATCATGTTCAATGTGCGAGAAGGCGGGGAGCTACCGGGCAGATACTTGAGCTCATTTTTATTTATGCGGTTTCCATCCTTTTACACACCAACCTCTACTATTCAATTGTAAATGCATCCATCTGTATGAAGGCCTATGTTTAATTTTAAAAAAAGTATAAAATTGAATAAATCTTATAGCCTATAATAAAAAAGGCTGAAAATAAATTGAAAAACAAATGCTTCTTGTCAAAGCATCGTGGTCTTTTGTTCGCATTAAATAGAAATAAAAATAAATAAATAATTTTTAAAAAAATATATAAGCTTTTATTTAAAACGCATAAAAATTAACTAAAAGGAGATACATAATTTATCTCGTAATTCCTTTAGAGCAAGAGATTAAATAATACAAAACTCATCTGCAATTTTTTATCACGAATAATAAAAGCATGGGGTAATTTATAAAGATATTCGCTCACACAAAAATATTGACCTGGATTATTTATAAAGATACTGACCTGGATAAATTTATAAAGATATTGGCTTATACTTATGACAGTACATTCTGATTAATAGATTTCGTTATCTGGGCGTTCACGGTTTAATTATTCATGATATAAAACTGTAAAACATAAATTTAGACAACTTCAAGAATTGTGATTTTTTTTAAATGAGGATGAGCTCATTTTCATTTGCATAAAATGTTCGAAATTCATTAATATGCCTATAGGCCCGAAGAGTTCCCCAATCAAAGCTTTATTGCACTGGAACTAATGCAGTTCTCTATGCTACCCTAATCAAAGATTTATTGCATTTGAAATGATAGTGCATTGATGATTTTATTCATTAAATTAAAATTAATCCCATTAGTAGCCTGTAAAGAATTTTCTAGGTTATTAATGGAAAAATACTTTGTTTGCTTTTTATTTTTTTTCAAAAAATTAACTTTGTTTCTGTCATATGCATAAATTTGTGCTGATGGCTAGGCCTTGCGGTGATTTGTTAGATTCAGTATATTGTCACGAAATGAATATTAAATTGTATGAAAAGCCTGTTGAAGTTATACTTTCGTTCTGTCACCTAGAATTTTCAAATAACTGCTATTCCCCTGCTGTATAATGCTCCTATTGCAGTGATTTGTTTATTTCATTGTTCAAAGCACCGTTGGGCTTATCATCATTCTGAAGACAGACATCTAATTTTCCCTCTGCTTCGTTTTTATAAGTGATTACAGACTTTCCCTATTTGAACTGAAAAGTTGTGTTCGTTTGTGAAGCCATTTCAAATTAAGCTTGCTGTCAATTTATTTAATTTTTTAATGTTTTCGTTGACACAAAAGGATAAAATACTAGTTTAGTACATACTTTCTAGGAGCTGTTATATTAGTTTAGATGAATTTGTATGATATGTTTATTGGCTTATAATACATGTAATGCATTGTTAAGTCATGAAATATATCATAAGCATTCATCTCCTATAATTCAATAACAATTGCAGCAGTGTTATGCTTTCTATGCTTTCTTTCTTAACGCAAGAAATTTGTATATCGCAGCATTATACTAATTAGTTATTTTCTTGTAAGCCTTTTTCACCAAAAAACTAGAAAAGTAACTGGTCACGCGAAAACGTCGAGTTGCTATTGCATGATGGGATTCTCTTAAAACTACATCGTCAATAAAATTTCTTTTAATTACTTTGAAAAATATGCTCCTTTTTGCTACATAACTTACTGTGGATTTGCCGTACAGACAAAATGCAATTCTATTATCTGACTGCCTGTGCTACCATTTAATCCGCATAATTGGAATTCTATAAACTTAATCAAGAGTTGATATTTAATTGCAGAAAATACTGAACGACAGAACTGCGCATAAGTTGCAGTAAAAATTTTTTTTTTTAAATTGAATCTCAGACAACTATGCCTTTTTTAATTGTACATCTTTGCCGATCTACGGAAATATAATTCACAATTGAGGATCCATTAATTCATTACTTTCGGACTACTTATAATCCTTTACAAAGTTGTCATTTATGTTTTTATTTATTTACGTTCTCATCTATTTTCCATGGAAAGTTAGTTATTCCTCTGTATTTATTTGATAATTTTCCAAATATTTTTTCCCCTTCTTAAATTAAATTTCTATGAATTTCGAAACTATTAATCCTTTTCGGAAAGCATTAGTTAATTTTTTAGAACTGAATTATTAGAAAGAAATATAAATTTAATAATGAAAAAAATTATTCTTATTTTAATTTAAATATCTATTCCACATTACTCAGAGGGATTAATAAAATTAATCTAATTTTTAAATTTTCAGTGCAAGATTCAATCGCAGAGATAATGGAATATGCCATAAGGAGTTCGAATCCTTCCAGGATTTAACACAGCAGGTCCCTTTGCGCTATGCGTATTCTTATTATATTACTACAAGCTTTATTCAATAGTGATAAAAGCAGAAATACAAAGTCAGTTTTTTGACTTCTTTTTTTAAATAGCTTTCAGTTCTAGACAGAAAAGCTGTGTTAACGCAATGCAGTACTGCTTACTTTTTGCGAGGAGAACAAAAATAAATAAATAATAAAAGCACCTTTATTTCTTTTGTTTAAGCTTTTCTTTAGTAAAATTCTTAATTTATGAAAATTTGCTCTGTTTTTATTATGTCATATTTATAACTCTTATTGACAATTAATAGCATATTAAATAATCTTAATAACAATATCTGTAATGCAGGACTAGTAAATAGTTAATTATTTAAAATTTTCGAAACATTTAAAAAAATAACGTAAAGAAGCGTATGGTTTATCACTCAGACAATCAGGCTGCACCACTTCTGAGATCTTTTCGTTTCTCCTCTTTCTTTCGATCAAGTTGTTTAATAAACCTTTGGACAAAAATATGCTTTATCTAGATTAACAAATATATACAAATAAACGTTTGATAACGCAACTAATATAGCCAAAAAAAGCAAGATAAAACTTCCCATATCGCAAACGTCTTTTACATCCTTTATTTGATTATTGTATAAGAATAGCAATTAGGACTGTGAACTGCTTTTCAGAGAATTTGTCTTTGGCTACTTAATATTCATAAAACTGTTCCTTCCTTTTTCTCTTAATAAAAACATTAAGTGTTCTTAAAAGCTAACCTGACCAATGAACCTGATAATATTAAATCAAACGTTCTGTCTAAGCTGAGAGCACTGATTTCGTAAAATTCTGCTTTTATTTATTGCATGCATAGTCGTCGACTGCAGATCATTATCAAGCAAATATTCAGAGTTATCTAAATAATGTACGAAGGCTCTACATTTTTTTTGCACTCAGCAACTGTATTTCTGTACTCTGTAGCGTGTTTTTGTTCCCTCCCTCACTCAGGCTGACCAGTGGTCGAGCGGATAAATCTAAGAAACACTGGTAATTCTCCCGAGGTTTGTTTCTAGTAGTTGAAACGAAATGACTGCTTGAGCTTTCGTAGTTTTTCTCAATGTGACATATATTATTTCTCACAGATTCAATTTCGTGTAGAATTTCAGCTACAAAGGTATCCTTAAACCTAGACAAAATAGCCTTAGAGTACTTTGTCCATAGTCGCATGATCTAATCCAGTCTAATCTTTGCATTCTACAGTTTAAAAAAATAATGGGCAGCATTGACTGAATCTCATGTGTTAATCTCTTCACTAAAGTAATATTTGAAATTATATGAATGTTCAATTGAAGATATACATTTATAATACTGTTTCTCTTTTCTCTTTTGTAGACACTAGCAGCAGTGCAGATGAACATTCCCCAATCTCAATGGATATGATCCACAGAACAGGCTCTTCAGCTTATCTTTCCTTACAAAGGATAAAGCAAGCCTCACTGTGAGTATACTGTTAAGTTTTGATTTACCTTTTGAAGAATTTTGAAGATTATTATTTCGAATGATATTTCTTATGAATTTTAAATATCAGAATAGCGAAAATTTAATGAAAAATAAATGAACAAGGATATCAGTCTTATTAAAACAGCTTCAGTAATCTTTAATATAACAAAATATTTCATTGTGATGCCGTTAACGAATCAGATTTTATCTGTAGATTATCTGAGAAAGATATCTAGACCTTAATAGTAGAAGGCAGCATTTTATTTAACTAAGAGAAGACTGCATGTGGTTCATTATAAAAGGATTAAAAAAAATTTTCTGCGATATTTTAATTGCATTCAGTAATTAGATAAGGAAACAAAAGCATTTATTTACTATTTAGCAGGGATGAAACTAAAAACGTAGAATCTTGAGCAGTAAACTAGTTACCAAATTTCTTACAACTGCCTTATGTATTTAATGAAATCTTAATTAAGCCCCAACGGATTTTTTGCAGTTAACCATAATTTTATTTAATCTTTTAAGAGTGTATATACATCTGCCGGTGACTTGACTTAATTCGCAATAATGTAAGTGCACAAAAGCCGTAACATTCAAGCTGAAACTTACCAATTAGAAATAAGAAATCTGTAAGCAATTCTCTCTTTCCCAATCCGTAAGTCTCGCATTCAAACAATGTTTGTGTGATTAATTTGTAAAATATTGTTGTGTAAATAATAGATATGTAATAAATACTGCAGTTCAGTAATTCACATATTCGACTTGCATAAAATTCAAATTAAGTAAAGTTTTACAGACCGCATTATTTACATAACTTGGGGGGAAACTTTATTTATGTCATACGTGAAAAATGTTAAATTTCAACAATAATTATTTCCCTTATAATTAAGCTATATTATTAGCATGTAACCATAGATGTTCAAGAATATTTTTTCGTGCATGAAAAGGTGGTTCCCCCCCCGTCAAATGACAACTCCTTAATATTATCTCGTGAAACGTCAATCAACACATAGCAAAACAATTCCTTGTCTTGAGATCGAATAATCGTTTTATAGTTTTAGGTTTTTAAAGTAACTTGTTCAGTCTAGAAAACAATGGCTGCATTTATTTTAAATGATTTTATTAGATTTTTCTGTTAATAAATTCAGCATAATACTTCACCCATGATCAAATGCACTTCGTATCTACAAGATCTATATGTAATATGGAATAGGAACATTAAATATATATCCTGCCTGCGAAAAGGCACGTAGCACCGACGGGAAAAAAGAAGTATCCATCAAGTAGACGCTTTATCTTTAGGATAACGGGTCAAATTACTACAAAAGTGCACTTTGCGACAGGTTAATTTCAACTCTAAATTATGAATGCATTAATCAGTATTAGTGTTGTGATCTTTCGATTAGTGCATCAGGTGAAAGTGGTTTTCTCAAAGTGGTATTTTTATCCCCAAATCCTGTTTTCCAAATGAATAATCGTTTTCTTGTAGTCTTCTATTTAGAAAAGCATCATAGTTTAATAATTAATAGTTTAATAATTATTTTTATAAACTCAGGAAAATATCAGTTAAGATTTCATCGGGTTGGCTTAAGTCATGTTCATTGGTTCATTGCGAAGTCAAACTAACATGTGAAATATTAGTACATTTTATCAGAAAAATATGTATTGGAAAAGGTCACCATTTTCGAAAATGTATAAATTTTAACCCTTCTATCATACATACGGTTCGGAAAACTGTGTGACTGTGAGTGAGTATAACTGTTATCCTGGAACCACTGATAGTGGTCCCTGGATCAGCTCTTGACCACTGACGACAAAGCAAACTGCGTACAAAGGATTTGCTTAATTTTCCCCATATATAACTTTAATACAAGCCACATTCCCTTTGAAAATTTTCCCCAAAAGTAACCACGAGTAATCGCTTTTGTCTGTTTTGCCGTAATTAATAACGAATTTAAAACATGCACGAATTTCGCGTAGGCAAATTTGTTTATCAGGGCGTAATTGGAGACTAAATTATTTCAGGAAATTAAGATATATAAAAATTAGAGTAGGGAAACCGTAACTTAAAAAGATTTGAATTTGTGATATGGCATGAAATAAATAACACTATTATATAAAAATAATATTTGTTCTTGAGAGAAATAAATGACAATTCATAGGTTTCAGCTGCCTGACGTACAACAGAAAAATTTGCTAGCAAAATTTTAATTTTTAGCTAAGTATCCAGTTCAAAAACAGTTTTGTAGAAAGGAGGCACACGTGCGTATATGGAAAAGGAGAAACTACCTCAGTTTTCAAAACAGCAGGAACTTCAGAATCAGCGAGTTAAAGCAACAAAACTGGCATTAGAAATTTAATTGAATCAACCCCTCTTCCCTGATGATGATTTTACTTGGCTTTTCATTTCTTTGCGAACAAGAATTTGTTTCTGATTGACCTTGAATTTTGCAATATGGGGCAGGGGGAAAGCCCAGTAAAGCATCTAATATACAAAATGTTTTTAAATTTAGAAGCAGATTAGCCTCGCATAATTCAAAGTGAAGAAGTTTAATTCTGCATCACAATGTTTTCTTTGCCAATCAATAAAATGTTAAATATTTTAAAAAATTTTCATGAAAATTCTCTCGCTTTAACATTTATAATTTTCTTAAATTTATTTATTTGGGCATTTAAAATATATAAATTATTAATTTTCAAACTCTGAATAATATCGCACTTTTAATTTTATTCCTCTCGAATCTAAAACTTATCTAACTTAGAAGACCGCAGATATTTCTAATTCAAGTTTTTGGAGCATTTGGAATTAAATATACAAGCGCTTAAGAAACGCAAGTACTTAACTGTAAAGATTCTCATTTTTGACCCTTGATTTTTCGCAATGCATCAGTGATTGTTGTCTTTTGCACCTGGAATGTTTGGAGGAATCAATGTTGAGGAGCAAAATTAATTAGCTTTCGTTTCCTGATACCTTGGATCATTAAAACGTTGGTAACTGTTCTAGAAGAATACTTCGCTAGTTTCCGAAAGGCGTGGGAGTGTACAATCCTTTCACGCATTTTTTTCACTCTATTCTCCTTGTTCTTTTACAATTAGGATGCGCTCGACTTCTTTGATCCGTTGACCACGGCGTCGACGAACTTTGCTATCTTGGTCAAAGGCGCTTCAGAAGCATTGTTCTGCTCAGCAACGTTGACCAACGTTTTGGCCCACTTGGTATTACTCAATCTTTCCTCCGCGCAGTGCCATGAACATCTCTTCCCATTGTGTCTTGGGAAGGGATGAGATTCAGTTTTCCCGTGGCTATTTGAGCAAGTGGGGGTGGGAGAAAATGTTGCTACTCGTGAACTGTGTCACTTGTTAAAAGACAGTTGCGCTGTTTCGGAAGTATTCGTATTTATATGAATTGTTTCGTGAGTGTGTTGGAGGAAAACAATTATTGTAATGGCCGTCTCCCTTGATTTTGAAATTTTCTCTCAACCTTCAAAAGCAAGTTAATTCTAGACTAGGGAGGGAAAACCTTTTTTTTGAATTTGGGGCCACTTTCTAAAGGAAGTGTCTGCTAGTTGTAGAATATCCATATCCTTCATAGGGGGAAGTTTTCGTAAAAGGTGTATTTATTGCGAAATTAATTGAGAATTCTGAGGAACTCTGCAATTTCTGTGAATTTCAAAACTGAGCTGAATTGGATAGACCTTGTTTAGTCTTTTGCGCCTGCCTGTATGTTCTGAGATGCTGATTAGTGAAACAACCTGCGTCTAACAATGAAACTTGTAACCCAAATGCAGTTTCAAGAAACAACATTTTTCATTCGAGTATTTATAGATTCTTCCTAGATGTTTTCTTAATTCTACTCTTTAAGTGATCTTTCGAAAAGGTTATTACTTAATTTTATTCGTTAATTTTTAAAACAAAAATCACGAACTTAAGTATTTTTCTAGAGTTTTCTGTCAGAGAAACTTAACATTCCTGATCCAAAGCAATTTTAGTTATTGCCTAAAGCAAATGTGTATGTAATATGCAGTAACATCCCTCTGCACGTCATAAAAGAACAAAAGATGTTACCCTGTGCAAAAAAAAGAAAAAAAAAACAGTCTTTTTAAAAGATAAGCTGAAATTCGAACAAACGGAAAACTAGCCAAATTTTAATTTTTAAAGCGAGAAAAACTTGGCTTTTCGATGGGAAATGACTATTAGAAGAAAATACAGAAACTTATATTATACTGAATATAACTACCGAGTCTTATCAGTTAGAGACGGAACGAATCGTAAAAAGTTCCCGAATATCTTGCATCGTTCGTTCATGTTTTTTTAAGAAAATGAAAACGAAATTAGGTATAGGCAACACATAATTGAAACTTATGTTCATCAACTCAACATAATTTGGACAAAAAATACTTTGAGTAACAGGTCGAATGTTTATATTTTCCCGGAAACTTTGTAAATGAAAGTAAGTGTTAAAAAGGACAGGACTGTTTGAAAAATTAACATAAATAAATCCTAACCATGGGAGGCTAAATTCTCTCCAGAAATTTAAGAAAAAAATTATTAAACCATTTTAAAAGTTCATAGCACATTTAAGTGTATACGAGTCAGTTTCCCTTAGGAAGTTCTCCACGAAGGCATCCCTGCCCTTAAGCAGATAACCCTCGAATGCTTTGCCATAATTAAATAAACAAAACCACAAAACATGAATCACTAAATACTTTTAGGGTTGCTAAAACAAAAGGTTAAAAAGGATTTTTAGACTCTACTAAATGGAATACCCAAACGGAGTGGTATTCAGGGACGCCATGAGGTTGTAAAGACATTAAGTATTCTGGAAGCAGGAAAGATGAAAAATTAACAACGCCTTCGCCGGGAATCGAACCGCGAACCTCTGGAATACCGGCCCAGCGTGCAGAACCACTACACCCCGAAGGCACGGTAGGGAAGTGGGAGAAATACCTTATAAGGTCACACTGGGGATCCAGCAGATACCACTGATTGCAACAATAG